AAACACTGAAATGCTCAATAATACACCCGGTGCATAAAGGTGGTAATAAAGAAGATATAAATAACTATCGACCCATTTCAGTCCTTCCAGTAATTTCCAAAATCCTTGAAAAACTTATAAAAAACCGTTTACTTAACTATCTTAGCAACTATGGCATATTGTCCGAATCACAGTATGGTTTTCGTGCGGGTATTAGTGCTGAGGACGCTATTCGAGATCTAACTGGTAAAATTACAAAAACGATCGACAGTAAACAAAAGGCATTATGTATCTTCTTGGATCTTAAAAAAGGCCTTTGATACTGTTTCTGTACCTATCTTGTTACGAAAGTTGGAAATAATAGGTATCCGAGGTTCATTCCTAAAACTTCTTACCGACTATCTTCAAAACCGTACCCAACGAGTTAGAATTTGTGATGATGTCCTCAGCTCTGACGAGTTCACTACAAATTTTGGCATTCCACAGGGCAGTGTCCTCGGCCCAACATTATTTTTAGTTTACATAAACGACCTTACAAATCTCCATCTTTTCAATGGACAAGTATTTTGCTATGCCGACGACACTGCCTTGCTCTTTTACGGAAAAAACTGGGCTGAAACTTTCAGTTGCGCTGAATCGGGATTGAACACTGTTATCGAATGGCTAAAAATTAACTTGCTGTCACTCAATTTAAGTAAAACAAATTATGTCCCGTTTTCTATACGAAATTCGTTGCAACCAAATATTGATTTAAAAATAAAGGCTCATGTATGCGATGTACCTCAAGATTGTACTTGTCCCGAGATCGAGAGAGTTAAAACCACAAAATATCTAGGAGTTATTATAGATAGAAATTTAAACTGGTACCCTCAAATCGATGTAGTAGCTAAACGTGCTAGGAAGCTGATCTGGATTTTTAAACGCCTTCGTAACATTTGTGATTTACAGCTTATTATGTATATCTACAAAACCTTAGTACAGTCTGTTCTTCTATATTGCATAAGTATATGGGGCGGCACATTTAAATCAAAATTTGTGAGCATTGAACGTGCGCAGAGAAGTATCTTGAAAATAATGCTTTGCAAGAGTAAACTATATTCCACAGAAAAACTCTATAAAGATTCAGATCTCCTAACAGTTAGGCAACTATACATACTTCAATGCATACTTAAAGTCCACAAAAATACCCCGTTTGACATATCTATATTAAGCAAAAGAAATCGCTCATATATAATAAAATCTCAAACTGTGTGTACAACTTTTGCCTCGAAACAATTTGCGACCCAATCTACAAGAATGTACAACAAAATAAACAAAACCCTAAATATATACCCTATGACGTTTAAAGAGTGTAAAAAAAACAGTAACTACGTGGCTAAAAACATTAAATTATCAACAAACTGAAGATCTATTTGTAGAAGTTGAATAAATAGATATATATCAAAAATCAATCCAAATTACAAGATGATTTAAAAAAAAAAAAAAAAAAGCGTGTGCTAATTATTCGTTATTACATATTATTGTGTATATTGTTCATACCTTATTTTATTAGGTATATTGTTCAATATTAATTCGATCTTATGTAGTATTATAATATCGTAGCCATTCGATTCAGTTAGGTTACTTCCCGCATAAAATATTATAATATTATATTATATTATATTATAATTATTTAAAGTATTCCATACTTTATGTGGTCGCATCATCCTGCTGATAAGAGACATGCTACGCTGTACTAACCTGCACTGGTCACGACATACGGGCTACACTCGTCTGAGTTTGCACTACAGTTACACTCATGTCTCACTCACACAATTAAAAGAAAGACGATGGTGTGATTGATTTCAATCTACCTCACTTGTTTAGTTATTACGATTTAATATCAACAATCGCCAGTAATTTGGTTTTTCAAGTATGTAATATAATTAATTAACCATTTAAGTACCTTTACTGTTTTGCTTTATTAAGTAGATTAAGTATTAACATATAGGAAAGAGCGTTCATCCCTAACACAGGTTCTTGAACCTAAAAGGGATGTACAAAAATATAGATTTAAGACTATTTACTTAATAAAGAAATTTTTGTTGTTTGTTTGTTTACTTACTTGAAATAAATACCAATCTTTGTGTTTGTAAAAATATAATCATTATATATGAATTTGCGCCCACACGGCCATACTGACTCCAGCGCGTCCCTTGCGCTGTTTTAGATTGCTACAACTTTAAACAAGGCATCACTCATAACAAGATCTAGCCAACCAGACCAGGATCAAGGATACGCATGGTGGCCAGCCAGCGTTTTAGGAAGGATTTTTTGGATAGGAAAAATATAATATTTTGTATAAACACATTAATGCGCATACATAAAATAAACATCATCTTTCGTCATGAAAGTTATATAAATATAATGCAATTACCTAGGTCCAACAACGTCAGGTTAGCAGGAGGCATAAGCCTCCTCACGTTAATCGGTCTCTGACGAATCTTCCGCCCATACGGTCAATTCGACTGAACTGGTAACTTACCATGACGTTCAAAGAGTTGCCTCAATTGTTTATTCAGCCAACAATAACAAAACCGCCTCGGCCTGCTGACAACTAGGTTAAGGATTACGAAGCAGTTTTTCTTATAAGCTGTATAAATGACAATATAAGAATATACGGGAAACCGATCTCTCTTTAAAAAAATCGGTTGTCTGTAAAGTCGGTTTACTGACGATAGTTGAACGTGACAACGTCACGAATCGCTCACTCAAGTAGGAGAGAGACAGATGTCGAACGCTGAAGAGCGCGGAGTCCGATTGTGCCGAATGAGTCATGTTTTTTCGTGCGTGCAGCCGGCTCCATCGAATTATAAGACGTTGTCACGTCAAAAAATAAAAATTAAATCTCACGGTAAAATGGTATCACTAAAAAAACATGATATTTGTCGTCACACTGTTATGACATTAGGGTTTTAAATTTACTTTACAGTCGACTTTAAATCAAATTACATTCATGGACCTGATGTTCAACAAATAAACTTCAAAAATATAAGAAGGTTCAATTTTACAACTTTGATTCAAATCTTACTAACCCATCGATTTCATTACGATAATCGATATAAAATGCTCGCTTAGTTTTTAGTGATGAGTAATACCCAACAATATAGAATAAGACCGAAAAGTGGGTAGAAAGAAACCGCTACGTACCGTAGACAAATATCACCCTATTTTGATGTTTAGAATATAACTGAGCTGAGGGGAAAGCTTTTGGATTGAGTATTAATACAAAATTGATATTTGTCATTACACTACTATGACTAATCAAGACAAATTTAATTTGTGAACAGTAAACGTCTAAAAATATTGGAAGTTCAAATTTACAACTTGGATTCAAATCTTAATTACCCAGATCTGTAACGTATGGAATATTTCGCTTATGATGATCAATATAAAATACTCGCTTAGTGTTTAGTTACGAGTAAAACCCAACAAAATAGAATAAGACCGAAAAGTGGGTAGAAAGAAACCGCTACGTACCTACTGTAGACAAATATCACCCTATTTTGATGTTTAGAATATAACTGAGCTGAGGAGAAAGCTTTTGGATTGAGTATTAATACAAAATTGATATTTGTCATTACACTACTATGACTAATCAAGACAAATTTAATTTGTGAACAGTAAACGTCTAAAAATATTGGAAGGTTAAAATTTATATTGACAACTTTGATTTGAATCTTACTTCGCCATATCTGTAACATATGGAATGTTTATCATGATCATTAATCATTATAAAATGCTCTCTTCGCTTTTCGCGATAAGGTATAAAAAATACATATATTGACCGAAAGGCAAGCGTAAAACTGTCCATCTGGTGTCACGAAAGCAGTTTTTCAATAGTCTTCTGATAAGTACATTCATGATTTGAAGTGTACAGACCTACAACCAATATTCAACTCAGTTTGACATCGATATTTTCTGTTCATCCAATGACTCTGAGACATACACTCACATCCGGCTATTTTAGTTAGAAAAGTTATAAATTTAAATCTTCTGCTTTTTCATACTTCATTTCAATATTTTAATTGTTTCGTTATTTTATAAATTCATAATTATTAATCTTCCTATCTCCCCAAGATATTTATAGAATATCTATTGGTAGATATTTGTTATTAATTGTTTTTTTTTAAATTATAAGCATAATTTACTAACTTTAATTTTTCTTTAACATACTGTAAATCTTCCTAAAATATAGGAATTCCGTGAAAGCTAGATGCCATATCAAGGCAGCTGTAATAACGGGCTTTGCCTAATCTATTAATTTGGTGTGCAATTAAAGGTAAAGAATAATTATCTCTAACCGTATTTGAATTTAACACGCGAAAATAAACGCAAAGTCAGTACGTCCCGTTGTTTTTCTTGACTAATAAAATTGGATGCTGAATGGCGAAGAGCTCTCTTAATATGCCATTTTCCTCGAATCATTTACACATTTCCCCTACAATTTTATCAGGATTTGTTTTAATAATTTTTTATCTCGCCGGTTGTTACCCGTGCGACATGATTTCCAGAAGTAAAATTATCTTTGAACTCATTGAAGATATTGTAGATTTCATTAATCGGTATTTATTTTAATAGGGGCGTCAAATTTGAACACTGAATTAACTAACGATTAAAGACATCGTTTTCGCTGAGAGTAACGCTAAGGCTAGGTTTGTTTTTATAAGAAAATTAAACCGTATTAAAATATCAAATTGAGTTTAGTTGTCACATAAAACGCTAGCTTTAAAATGACTATCGATTTCTACCATAGCTGTAATGATTTGCTTCGATATAAACTTTTGTCCCTCAATGCCCATAAACTGTAGGTACGTCAACTTGTTTACGTTTACCAAGAATTAACTATTAAAACCAGCAATGCTTTCTCGAATTAAGAAACGATCTGCACCAGTATAAAAAAGATAGTAATAATGTTTTCGTACTACCCTCAACAGATGAACAATAGTTATTTCTGCACGTCATCCGCGTACCGAAACTCGATGCCAAACGTATGGATCAGCTCCTCCTTCACTTGTTCCCACGTGGTTGAATGCAGCAACCAGCTGTCAGCCCATGTTTTGGCTCGTTCTCTTAACTGCAGGATGGCCTTCACTCGAGCTTCATGTGGAGGGACCATCAACTTCGTGATAGTTTCGTCTACGTTAGCGCACCAGTCCCTGATGTCGTGTGATCTCTCATCAGGGTTGAACGGTGGTGCTGCCGGAGGGTTGCACCGTCCGCCGATAGCGTTGCTTTCACAGCGCTCGTTGCAGCAGTCTTCGTAATGGAGGTCAAGAGAACATAGTGAAGGTCGTATCGTTTGAAGATTCCGAAGTCACTTGGGGCTGTTATCCCACTGCTGCTGTCGGAGTTTGAACGCCATAATTATTGTGTCCGGACTCCACGATGAATTCTTGAAGATAATGACGTCAGCAAAACTGTCGTCATAAATTAGTTTGTTGGCATCAGCCATTTACTTTCGACATTAAAGTCTACTTTTTAAAGGCTTCTGATTGGTTCGGCCACACACATTTAGTTATTTTTTTAATACTTACACTAAATACATAACAATGCTTAAATTATCGAATTGGAAAAGGCAGCTTTCATTTTCTTAAGAACCTAGGGATAATGGTTTAAGAATAACTTTATTTCTCGTAAGTATTGCATACATAATTCACTTACTGAGAAACACATATTTAAAACTAAGATTAGAAATTAGAGCGCACAGATGTAGGTACATATTATTTAAAAAAACAAAACAGCACCAAAAATGTGGGTAGACAGAATAAACTTGATCAGTCATCCAAGCAAAAGACATGTTCGAATTTGATTTTTTACTAGATTGATGGCATAGTCTGATATAGCAAGTTTATATTGATTATTTTATCATTTTTCATAACACTATTTATTTTTAGTTTATTCTTATATTTATATATTTAGGGTATGTACATGGTTTATAAAAAAAATTTACAAACTAAAACTGTGCGTCATCTGATCTACAATTAATACTCACACACTAATAAATTGCATTAACTTTTTTTGTTTATCCTGAAAAAAATAGATTTTGCTTTTACGAATTTGTTCCCTGGGGCAAGCAATATGATAGGTTGTAGTATCATAAATAGATTTAATAAGTTCGGGCCCCGTGTGGATTTAAGCGATAGTTCTAAGTAATAAAGCAGTCATCGAGAAATTATATAGATTTTATAAAATTATTTACGTAATAAAAAAATTATTTCTATTAATTCATAGTCTTAATCTTTAGATAAACTTATCAGGGTATTAGAAACCAGATTATGTTGGATTAATCGAAAACATTATGAATGTGTTAGCAAAAGTTTTACATAGTTAATTATTCATGAATATTAAAGTGAGATTTTGTTTTAATTTTAAAAATGGCGGCTGGAATGTTAAATTCCGAAGTCTAATAGCCCATAGTCATGTCAAGATATACAAAATATTATTATGTATTACTATTCTTCTATCTAGGGCCTCAACCAGTCTGTTGCACCCCCGTTAAAAAAGACGTTGCTACAGAACGCTATCTCTAATATATCTATAACTATGATGAATGTGACTTTATTTTCGCACGGTATTTCATCCAGCTCAATTATATATATTTTCATCATTACTTTTTATTATTGATACATTGCATTTGGGAATCACTTGCTTCACTAGACCTCTCTATTGTTCGCGATGGGTCGACCGGTTTGTCACAGGTACTTTAATACGTTTGCTAATTACAACTCTGCTACTACAATCATAAGGCTCATATCCTGCTTTACTTCAATGTTTGCAAAATTAATATCTTATAGCATACTGAGGGTACTTAATAATTTGCATCATTTTATTTGGCTATATTGTCTCACTTATTTTAATATTACATTAAGACTTTCAGTTATGTTAATCGAGTTGGTATTATATAAGATATATCAGTATTTCTGCATATATGATACCCATCTAAATAAGGGGAACAAAATCGAAGTTGGAGGAAAGACTCATATATTCTCCGCCTGCCCTGCGGTCGCCCCAGCCTTTTGCTTGTCCGAAGGAGGTGAGACGGTGCAAACGTCCACACAAGTAGCATCCCATACTAAAGCCCGTCCCATTTTCCATGTTCTTAGGTTAAAAAAAATGTAAATATTTGATTGTTATAATCACTAATAAATCAAATCTAGATTTTATTGTATGTATTTCGTTTTCTGTAATAATATATGTATTTCTATAAATAAATAAATATTTGCCAAGTAAATTGCGTTTAATTGTAATATGATTAACGTACAAGTTTAATCCTATGTATTAGACAGTAAATATTTAAAATTAAAACTATTTCCGTTGATAAATGGATTAAAATTTACATGATTATACCTAAGTGTAGTTGCATAATCTAAAATGATATCGTTGAAATTATTTGCTATCCTTAACTAAACGTCAAAAGTTTTTAAATTATCATTAATAATTTCTATATCTGCTATATTATAAATGCTGTTAACAAATTTAACGAATTCATTTCCAACAAATATACAGTACGTATTCTTAACCTACGTAGTAATAATAATAGTACTTAAAAATGCTCCTTGTGGGAGACCCTTTAGTACTGGAATTTCCTCGCTGTATTGCGACTATTCCTTAACGAAAGCACCAGCTCTGGGGCCACCTACCAGGCGCTTAAATCTTTAATTAGCTGTGCACTTGACCCCCACCAAGAGTCCACTCCAAAGGGAACAAAAGCAAAGTTAGAGGAAAGACTTTTATATTTGAGCCTGCTCTGCGGCCGCGCTTGTATTTGTGCTTGATTTGGCGTGCTTCCACACAAGTAGCATCCCATACCAAAGCCCGTCCCATCCTTCAAGGCATCCCATCCGACCCCTTGCCATCGTCTCTAGCGATGCCTGTTGGCCCCAAAAACTACTTTCTTTGCTTGCTTTTCAGGACGGAGACAAATACAACAAATCAAGATAGATGAACATCAGACCAGCCGTTGTCGAGTTTTATTTTTACGCTTTTTCCCAGTGACGTAACAATAGGGTGGCAGGGCTGGCAAAATGCCACCGGCCCCCGACCCTAGAGGGCCCTGCCCAAGAGATATTATGTTCTATGGCTGAATGTGAAGTCTCCAATATGCATTGGGCTAGCGTGAGGACTACAGACCATTCCCTCTCGCCAAAGAGAGGAGGCCTATGGCCATTAGTGGGACATATACAACGTATAATTGAGTATGCTGAAAATCTCGAAGTTCATTAAAATTAAACTGAGTAGGGACGATTTTTATTGATACGGACGGCTTTAGTCACCCGTGTAAACCCCACTTAATGGTGCTTTACGACTTTATTCCGCGCGGCAAGCGATATTTATTTCATTCTTTTCTTAAACATTATTCGGCAACTACAAAGTAATCTATAATCTCAATCTGATAAGAATCACACGATACATTAATTGGATTATTAATGACGAATTTAATTTATCAAGTCCATGTACTAAGGTAAATAATATTAAAAAAAAATGTATTTTCTCAGCTCCCATGTTCACCATTTACTTATGATCATTTTACTCTCAATCATAACGAGTTACAGATACAAACACATACTTATGAATACGTTATAGAAAACTAGCTGACCTGGCAAACGTCGTTTTGCCATGTATATCATTTATAATAAAAAATAGAGGTTGATCGTAGAGGGGTGAAAATTAGGGGTTGTATGTATTTTTTAATGCTGCATCATAAAAAAATCAAAAAAATAAAAATTTATCTAATAACTAAAAAAAATAATTTAGGGGTGGACTACCCTTAACATTTAAGGGGATGAAAAATAGATGTGATCCGATTCTCAGACATACCCAATATACACAAAATTTCATGAGAATCGGTCAAGCCGTTTCGGAGGAGTTTAACTACAAACACCGCGACACTAGAATTTTATATATTAGATACACATACATCTATGAAAATAACATGCGAACTTAAGAAGGCGCCAGAACAGATCCACGCAAATCTTCAGACTTTCCATGTGCGCATCTAAGATTCGCGCGTACGTAGGGAAACATCGTGAGGAAACCGGCTTGCCTTAGGCCGTTTGTCCACCGCTGCCGTCATCGGGACGTCACCGAGAACGAGATGACGGCGCCGCTTTAGCGATACATTTAATATGGCCGTGTGTCCAACGCACGCCCGTCACCCGAGCGCCGTCATCCCGGCCGCCGATATTTCCGCCCGGTTTTATGACGTGCAGATGTGCTGGCTATACAAAACACGTTTGTTCTTGTCCACACGTGTTGCTCCTATTTCACCATGCCTCCGGCGAGGATAAATCTTTGTTTTTAATTTATTTTATTATTATTTATTACTTAAGATGTCATGTGGAACATGATAATTGCAGCTCCTTACAAACTGAACTGAACTACTAATATATCTATAACTATGATGAATGAGACTTTATTTTCGCACGGTATTTCATCCAGCTCAATTATATATATTTTCATCATTACTTTTTATTATTGATACATTGCATTTGGGAATCACTTGCTTCACTAGACCTCTCTATTGTTCGCGATGGGTCAACCGGTTTGTCACAGGTACTTTAATACGTTTGCTAATTACAACTCTGCTACTACAATCATAAGGCTCATATCCTGCTTTACTTCAATGTTTGCAAAATTAATATCTTATAGCATACTGAGGGTACTTAATAATTTGCATCATTTTATTTGGCTATATTGTCTCACTTATTATAATATTACATTAAGACTTTCAGTAATGTTAATCGAGTTGGTATTATATAAGATATATCAGTATTTCTGCATATATGATACCCATCTAAATCTTAATATATATAAATTACATGTCACGTTGTTAGTCCGCTATGGACTCCTAAACTACCGAACCGATATCAATCAAATTTGCACACCGTGTGTAGTTTGATCCAACTTAAAAGATAGGATAGCTTACTTCTCAATTATATTATTTTATTGCAAATTATTTGTTTATTATTTGATAGTCACAATTCTAACAGATGGCGCTGTGTTAAAAGTACCAACATTTCACATTTATGGAATAACCACCAAAAAGCATGGTTGTCCCCATGACTGGTGTTCTCCTACCGTTTCCCTTGAATAGTTTGCTACTATACTACAAAAATCTTAGCCACAGCAGCGCTTGGCCGAGTCTGCTAGTTATTTAATATTCTTCACAGTTATACTGTCTCAAATAGAATTATTTACAAAGTGTATAACTGTTCTTTATTTTTACGCATTATGTAAACTAAAGAAACTGCTATTTCAATGTGGG